CTTATGCATTCAAAAAAGTAATCTACTATTTTACAACTGTTGGATTGCTTCCATTATCATGAAGAATTATATTCCATTCTTATGTTCCACTTTAATTATACGAAGTTAGCCAGCACTTATCTCCATTTTTAGCCAATATAGCAAATCCTCCATTAGGTAGAGATGTAATATCCATAGGTTATCCTTATTAATTTATATTAATACTACTTCCATTTAAAGTTCCATCAGCATTAATTTTCTAAACCATTAGGTTTTTACTTGTATTATCTTAATAGAAAGCCCAAGAAGTATTTTCATTCGATAAAGGACCTAATACAAAAGAACTAGGAGTAAAATGTAAGCCTCTACTAAAAGTAGATTAAATACCAGTCAATCTTACTTTTTTTATTTAACTATAAGTCAAATTAGTATCTTAATTAGATCCATATTAAGGACTTACCCAAATAATTAGACATTGATTTTTTATAAAATTTCCAAAAAGTAAAATTTTCACTTTTATATAAGAGCAACCGTATTAATGTGTTTTAGTAGCTACATAATCAATATTTTAGCTATTATATTTATTCCCTTAAGAATCTTCAGAATAATATTTTAGTACATTTTTATTATTTATAATGCTTAATTTATATTTTAATCCTTCAATCAAATCATATTTATTATATCCCGATAATTAAACATTAACATTTGTAGAATCTATCTTTTTACAAAATGTTACAATAGGTTTTTTTTCCCAAAAAGTGTTTAGCTTGCTTATTTCTCCATTTAAACTAGAATCTAATTTTACACATTAGAACTCCCAATCCGTATTTTATTTATTACTATTTAATTCTGGAGTCGGCTTCGTATTTGAGCAAACAATTAGTTTTTCCCCATTAGCTATGTTTATTTTTATATAATCTTTAAATAATTTGAGCTTATCTTTATATGCAATTATAGTTTTTATATCTTTTTCTTCTATAATTTAATATGAAGGAGGACATTTTATTTACGATTTTGAATCAGTTGACTCTTTTATATTCAAACTTTATATAGATTTAATTGCATAAAATATTTTCTCGTATAAAAATAAAGTTCCAATTTATATTATTCTTCCTTAAGTATTTTCATCATTATCTGCAGATATTTATAAATTATCCTATAAAGCGGTTATTCCTGGGAATTTATCATCCCCATTAGTAGGACAAATACAAGGTTCTTAAGCTTTTATTGATATAATTAAAACTAAAAATATATATAGTTTTTTTTTCAAACTCATATATTTTATTAATTTATTTGAAAATTAAAATATGTTTTTATATTAGAAATAATAATAAAATATGAAAAATTAAATAAATATATTTTTTTAATAAAATAAATTATTTATCAATATTTATTATGTTAATTTTTTATCACAAATAAAAAAAATAAAAATTAAATTATTAATTAAGTCTATAAAAAATAATTAAAAAAATAAAAAATATCCTAAATTAAAATAATTTTCTAAATTTAAGAATTTATTAATTTTGTATATTTAAAGTATTATTAAATTTAATTCTATTAAATGATAAATGAAATTAGAAGTTTTAATTTAAGTATATAAAATTATTAAAATTATATTTTTATTTTTATTTTAATAATTACTTAAAAATATATTTATAAATAAAAAAAAATAAACTTTTTTATTCATAAAAAAATTTTAATTAAATTGAATTAAAAAATAAAATTTATTCAAAATTAAATATATTAAATAATTGTGTTTATGTTCAATAAAAATTATAGAAAAATAAAATTAAAAATATTAATAAACTTATTATTACATATTAAATAATATAAATGTATTAATAATAAAAAAATTTATTAAATATATAATAATCAATTTTTATAATTTAAAAAAAATAATTTTTTATTAAAAATAATTTAAACAAAGATAAAATAAATAAAAATTATTATAAAAGAAAAATAAAATATTTTATATAATAATAAATAAAAAAAACATATAAATAATAAATTATTGTAAAAAAATTAAATATATATATATAATAAAAATTTGAAAAAAAATTTAAATAACTATTTTTTATTAAAAAAATAAATTAAAATAAATAAAAAATATTAAAAATTTTTGTAAAATATTCATAAATAATATATTAAAAAAAAATTAAAAGATATAAAATAAAAAATATATATTAAAAATATATAATATATATATTTATATTTATTCATTAATATATATATAATTTTAATTTTTATTTATAAATAATATAATATTAAATTTATAATAATTTTATTTATATATATTTTTTTTATTTATCTTTTTATTATATATATAATAAATATATTATTTTTAATAATATAATAATTTTATTTTGTAAGTTTTTACTTCTATAAATAATTTTTTTTTTTTATATTGTCACATTACTTTACATAATTTAATTTATCTTTTAAATATATATCACTATATATTTAAATAAAATTTATTTATTTTTATTTTAATTAATAATATAAATAATAATAATTTCTTTAATTTATATATATTTTTTTTTAAAATTTATATATCATATATTATTTAATTATTTACATAAATTTTTATTAAAGATTTTATATTAAATAATCAAAAAATTCATATTATTATCTTTTTTATTTTATAAATTTTAAAATAATTAAAAATTATTAAAAATTTTGACATATATGAATATAAATAATTTTTAAAATATAAAATAATACAATAGAAATTTAATTAAATTATTATATAAAAATATGTATCTAATATTACAATTATTACTTAAATCATTAAAAAATATCATAAAAATAATAATTTTACAACTATATGTCATTAATATTGATTTAAATTTAAAAAAATATATATATTTTAAATTATATTTAAACTTAAAATAATATTAAAATATTAATATTTGTTTAATTCAGAATAAATAACAAATAAAATAAAATAAAATATATAAATTATTCATTATAATTTTTCCAAATTTACTATTATAATCTGAAGTTTTTCCATTTTAAACGATTGAAAACAATCCTACCAAATTACTATTTCCAATGTTAGTCCCTCCCCCAGTGTTTGTACCTCCCCCAGTGTTTGTACCTCCTCCAGTGTTAGTACCTCCTCCAGTGTTAGTACCTCCTCCAGTGTTAGTACCTCCCCCAGTGTTAGTACCTCCTCCAGTGTTAGTACCTCCCCCATTGTTAGTACCTCCCCCAGTGTTAGTACCTCCCCCAGTGTTAGTACCTCCTCCAGTGTTAGTACCTCCCCCATTGTTAGTACCTCCCCCAGTGTTAGTACCTCCTCCAGTGTTAGTACCTCCTCCAGTGTTAGTACCTCCCCCAGTGTTAGTACCTCCTCCAGTGTTAGTACCTCCCCCATTGTTAGTACCTCCCCCAGTGTTAGTACCTCCTCCAGTGTTAGTACCTCCCCCATTGTTAGTACCTCCTCCAGTGTTAGTACCTCCCCCATTGTTAGTACCTCCCCCAGTGTTAGTACCTCCTCCAGTGTTAGTACCTCCTCCAGTGTTTGTACCTCCTCCAGTGTTTGTACCTCCTCCAGTGTTAGTACCTCCTCCAGTGTTAGTACCTCCCCCAGTGTTAGTGCCTCCTCCAGTGTTAGTACCTCCCCCAGTGTTAGTACCTCCTCCAGGGTTAGTACTATCTTTTATTTAAGTAGTTATGCTTCCATAATTAGGATCAACTGAAATAATAATATCAGGATAAACATTTGCTATAGGAGCAGGAGTATAAAAATAATCAACAGAATTATCTTTATTAACTTAAGTATAAGCGACTCTTCCATCTTAAAGGATTCTCATTAAATCATTAGCCGAAATAATATCAGTTATTTTAGTTTCTTGAAGTATTTTAGAACCATCATTTGAATTGATTAACATTATAAGGCATTCATCTGTATCTAAAGTTATATCATTATTAAAAGTAGTTCTATCACCACCTGTACTTACTAAACTAAATAAAATAAGGATATTTTTTCCATAATTAACACTTTTAATAACATTTGCTCTTTTTCCTAAATCTCCCGTTAATAATTAAACTTTATTAACTTTATTCATTTCAATTCCTTTATCAGTAATTATAGGTTCTATCAATTATAAAGATAATTCATTTATAGGATTATATAATTTATTTAAGCTAGTAGAAACAGTTTCTTATTCTTTCCTTTAGAAAAGTATCCATTTTTAATTAATACCAAATTTTTTAGTTATTCCTCCAAATCTACCTCCTGCTTTTCCAGTTCCGTTAGAAGGAATTCCATTATCATTTACTAAGTCTTTATTGTCAGAAAAATCATAACATTTTGCAACGTAAGTTTCACATTACCTTATTTTAATATTCTAAGGATAAGCGTCACCTAAAGATCCAAAATAAACAAACCTACCATCGTAATAAAGCTCTTAATTTAAAGAATGTGAAGGGCTAAATGAAAAATAAAGCAATCTCTAATCGCCTGTAGTATAATCCACAGAAAACATTGAAGAACCCGTATGATCATTTCTACCTCCATTAGAATATAAGCCGAAATGATTATAATAGGCCCATGTAATAAATATTCTTCCTCTAGCATATAATAATTTGCCATTATAAGGTTTATACATAATTTCCATTCCCCAAGGTTATTTTCCTTATGCATTCAAAAAAGTAATCTACTATCTTACAACTGTCGGATTGTCTCCATTATCATGAAGAATTATATTCCATTCTTATGTTCCATTATTATCATAAGAGGCTATCCAGCACTTATCTCCATTTTTAGCCAATATAGCAAATCCTCCATTAGGTAGAGATGTAATATCCATAGGTTATCCTTATTAATTTATATTAATACTACTTCCATTTAAAGTTCCATCAGCATTAATTTTCTAAACCATTAGGTTTTTACTTGTATTATCTTAATAGAAAGCCCAAGAAGTATTTTCATTCAATAAAGGACTTAATGAAAAACAACTAGGAGTAAAATGTAAGCCTCTACTAAAAGTAGATTAAATACCAGTCAATCTTACTTTTATTATTTAACTATAAGTCAAATTAGTATCTTAATTAGATCCATATTAAGGACTTACCCAAATAATTAGACATTGATTTTTTATAAAATTTCCAAAAAGTAAAATTTTCACTTTTATGTAAGAGCAACCATATTAATGTGTTTTAGTTGCTATAAAGCTGAAATTTTAGTCAGTAGTATAATTTCCACTATCATCTTCAATATAATATTTTAGTGCATTTTTAATATTTTAAATGCCAAATTTATATTTATATCCTTCAATTAAATCATATCCATTATATCCTGAAAATTAAACATTAATGTTTGTAGTATCTATTTTCTTGCATATAGTTAATATAGGACTTTATTCCCAGTAAGTATTTAAAGCACTTATTGTGCCATTATAATTAGAATCTAATTTTGTGCATTAAAATTCCCAATCAGTTGACTAGCCTCCGTTTGCTATTACAGGTATTTTTTTTGTGTTTGTGCACACAATTTATGTTGTTCCTGAACTAATTGATAAATTTAGATGGTTGATAAATAAATTTTGTTTATCGCTATAATCTATTATAGCTTACAAATCAGCTTCTTCTATTATTTTATAAGAAGTAGGGCATTTAACTTCTATATTTGATGAAATATTCTCTTTTAATTTTAAATTATATAAAGATTTATTTACATAATATAAATTCTAATATAGAATTAGTTTTTCAAATTATATCATTTTTCCTAAAGTACCTTCATCAATTTCCTGAGAAACTGATAAAGTACTAGATAAAGGAGTCATAAATGGAAATGTATCATTTCCTGTAGTAGGACATTAACAAGGTTCTTATGTTTTTATTTATAATGTAAAATAAATAAAGATTAAAATTTTTATTCTTAAATTCATGATATATATTATATTTAATTATAATTTTTAATTATCGTTAAATTATATATTTTATTTTTACAACAAAAAAATTGATTATTAAATAATAATAATAATATAATTAGTTTAAATATTATCATGTTTATATTTAATATAATTAAATAATAGAAAATAATCTTTTTTAAAAAAATTATAAATAGAAACTAAATATTTTTTATTTGTTTTTTAGTGAATTCTAAAAAAAATTCAGAATTTTAAATATATTTTATAATTTTTTATATAAATAATAAATAAAGTAATATAAATAAAAAACATAAAAAAAATATAGAATAAAAACATAATTGCCTATAAATAATATTCACTATTTTTCATTTTTAATATTTTTTTTTACTCATTTCATAAATACTCTTTTTTCAAATTCTTAATTCTTCTTTCTAAATTAATCATATTATTCTTAAAATATATGATAAAAATTAAATAACTATAATACTAATGAGTTTAAAATTATAAATTAATTAAAATAAAATAAATAGATTTAATCAAAAGTAAAAAAGAAATCTCACATACAAGGAAAAATAATAAACCTCTAAACTTTAATCTATAAACTTCTAAAAAAATTAATGAGATATAAACGAATCATTAAGATTTTTAAAAAATTAAAGAAGATAAAAAAACATAAAAACAAGTAGTATTTAGATTGAATATTAATAAAGCAAAAATTAGTTATTAAGAAAGAATTAAATAAAACTTGTCCTTTATATAATATTAATTAGGAATTAAATTTAATAATTATAATAAAAATACATTAAATAAATTATTTGTTATAATTGAAAAAAAAGTTTTAAATTTATTAAATAAAAATTAAATTACTAATAAAAAATTTATTTATTTTTCAAGTTTTTTAGTAATATCTCAACTATTATTAAAAAGTTTAAAATTGTATTTTTTATTATTAACTTTTAATTATATATATAATAACACTAATTGAGTTTTATTTATATTAAAAAAAAATCAAATAATTATATATTTACCATTTTTAAATTAATTTTAATAAAGTTTACTTTTTTATATTTATATTTCCTTTTATTTCTTAATATTTTTATTTATAAAATTCTTTAATAAATATTTAATTTAGAAAGAATCTTTATTACAATTACAAATTAAAGTATATTATTATAAACGAAATGATTATTTTCTCTAAATTGACTTCGTTTTTTAGAATTAGCAGAGTTGATTAAATACTTAATAATAATAATTCAATCAATATAATTAATATTTTTACATAATCCTGATATTAATTAAAATTCTGATGGATATAATATTAAAATAGAGTCCATTTCTATACTTCAAAAGATATATTATTTATCAATAGTTATAAATTCGAATTTATTTATATCTGTTCTATCAGGAATTTTTTTCAAATACTAAAACAAAGATTTTTTTAAATAAAATTTCCCTAGCATTTGTTATATGAAATACTTAAACATCATTTTTTAGGAAAATGCTTTAATGTATATGATAATATCTACATATTAGTTTTAAAAAATATTTTCTTGATTAAAAATTATATAAAGAAACTTATTTTGAAAGCAAGTTTACTTTTATAATAATAATTTTATAAAATATATTATTTTCATCTATTTATTTTTCTAAGTATTATTGATATAGTTTTCTATGTATAAATATCATTACTTTTTTCAAAATCATTGAAATATTATTCATTAATATAGTTATATTGTTTTCAAATTATCATTAAAAAATTAATACTCTTTCAACGTTTATAAGTACTTATGCTTTACCTAACTTTAGGAATTTTTTAATAGATAAATATATTATATAAACAAACTGTTTTTTTTACTTTAATGTTTTTGTATAAAATAGTATTTGAGATTATTATACTTTAAAAGATAATATGACCTTTTTTTATTTCTTTCTAAAAATTCATTTAAAAATAAAAATTTAAAGAATCTTTGGCTATATTATCAAAAATGCCTCCTTAAATAAAAATATATTCTAAAAATTTTATAGATATTGAAGTACTCTTATATAAACTAGAGCTTTTACTATATTTATAAACATTAGAGTTTTATTAAAATTGTTTTATTATTACTTCTTTTTCTTTATATTTTTTTGTTTCATCTTCTCAAATATAAATATAATTTATTATTTTCATCAAATTTTAAATTTAGCATAATTAGTTAATATTCTTATAAACTTTATTTTTTTACTTAATTTTTTTTATTTATTTAGTTTTTCAAAATAAATAAATTGATATATAATTATTTTATATTTTGATAATAGTAAAAGAAAAATAGATTTTTAGGAAGATAACATAACATTTTATTAATATATATATAAACATAAAATATAATTAATATAGTAATTTTTTCTAGTCTACAAACTTGTTTTGATTTTGTAAAAATTAAATTTTATTTAATTTTTTGTTTGTTTAATATTAATATAAAATAATAATAAAAATTGAGAGACATTTAAGAATTACAAAAATATAATTATATAGGAAAAAAAAAATATATAAATAAAAAAATAAAATAAATTTATTATTATTAATAATAAATATTTATATATGTTTTTCAAAATTAAATATATTATATAATTAAATAAACTAGTATTTAATCTTCATTATTAAGTAAAACTTTTTATTTAATTTTCAATATTTTTATTTTGGTTTCAATTATTTTGCTAGATATTATTTTAATTATCATTATTTTATTATATATCATCATTTTAATTCTCTTTTTATTTTTCTAGCATTGTTTTGATATTATCAAATTTATTTTTATAAATAATAATAGGTTTAAGTTTTTTATCCTTTTTTAAAAAATAATAATAAGTTTTGATATAAATGACAATATATTTATAATTAAATTAACAAATATAAACATTACCTTTTAATTCATTACACTTGAATGAATAAAATGTTAAACTAATTAGTTAAAACCCTATAGTCTTGCATAATAAAGTGAGCATACCTATTTTTTTAAAAAAAAGAATTAAAAAATTAAATAGATATTTTATTAACTTTTTCACTATTAAATGAAACCCATTTTTAATTATGAAATTCCTCATAAAATGGCTTTATAGATTAGCAATCATTAAAATTAATAAATGCATATCCAACATTACATTTATTCTATTTTTAAATATTTAAAAAATTATTTATTATTCAAAAAAATAAATTAGAAAAAAGTTATTTATTTACTCTAAAATCAACAGGAAGATAGAAAAAATCATATTTTTTTGCAAAATTTTTATTTATTTTTTCTAATAATGACTCATTATCATATTTGTTTGGAATATTTTTTATCATCACAGTTGTTCTTTTATCTTCTTTAACCTTAAATTATATTTTATTTAAAATAAAAAAATTAACATACATTTTCTGGAATAATTTTATATTTATCCTCTTCCCCCAAAGGTATGATTTTTCTTTTACGAACACCTTTTTATTTGTTTTTCTTTTTCTACTTTGAATCGTTTTCTTATTTATCCTCATCTTCTTCAACAATATATTATTCTTAAGTGTAAAAACTAGCAATACTTCTTTATTATCTAGATTCAAATTCAAACTATTTATTATTATTATTATTTAAATTATTATTATTAATAATGTTGTTTATATGGTAATCTTATTAGTTTTATTATTAGCACATTTTATTATTAAATTATTCATTATTTTTATATTAAAATGAAGAGTTTAGACTATTTTTGCTTAAATCATTAATTTAAGAACTATCATAACTTTAATTTAATAAAAAAGGACTTGGAATTAATTCATTTAGTCTTTAATTTCCTTAAAAACTTTAGTTATTGCTATTACTACTGTTTGATTTTTATTAGTTATTAAATTCATACAAAGATTATGAAGAGCTATTTTAAATGTTTGGCTTTATGAGATTATATAATTTCTACTTTCCCTTATATTACATATTATTCTAATAATTTTGTACATATTAAGAATTTTGAAAATGATAATCAGTCTAACTCAAAACACGATTTTAACGAAACAATTATGCGAATTTTAAATTTTAATTCGCGAATTCTAATTATTATGAAGCTGATTAATGTAATGATACTTATTAATTTATTTTTTAGTTTAATTGTCCTTTTTATTAATCTAAAATAAATGAATTTGAGTCAAAGGTTGAATCAGTATTAGTATTTTTAAATAATAATAAAGAACTTATTTTTAATTTTAATATTTTTTTTGATTATAAAAATAAATAAATTAATTTATTTAAAATTACTTATGCATATCTTTTCTTTTTTGTAAATTTTAAAACTAATTTACTTTTTAAGAATGATCCTTATATTATTTATTTATTGTGTCTTTAAAAAAAAAAAAAAAAAATATTTTTTATTTATAATTTAAAAATCAAATATTTATAATACTTTAGCCAATTCTATTTTATAATTAGTTCTAAACAATAGAAGGCTATTTATATTATTATAAAGGGTCATTTTTTTGTTAAAAGGAAATTTAGTTAGAATGAGATTTTTAATTAAAAGAGAATTAATAAGCTGATAATTATTATTGTTATACTTGGCTTTATTATATTTTTAATTATTAAATTTTATTTATAATTTCTTAGTCTTAATAAAATTATTATGTACTTTTTAAATTCTAATTATTAACTTTTTATTTGCCTTCATTTTAATTAAAACAGTCTCTTATTTTATTAAAATTATTAATTATTGTATTCATCTTTTTATCATCTTCTTCTTCTTGTTCGTTTATGCCCATTATAATGACATTATTAACTTTATTTAATTTAAATAAATAAATATGAAAAAAATAAAAAAATAATTACAAGCTTCATTTTAATTCATTAAATTCTATTAATTTTTGCTTTGCATAATATAAAGTCAAGTTTGTTAGTCTTATTATTTTTTATGAATATGTTATATCTTTCTATTTATTATATGAATTTAAAAATTGCAAATTATATATTAATATATATATATATATTTTTATTAATATAACTATATATTATATATATATATATATATATTATATTAATATTATTTATTCTTTACTAATATATATATATATATATATATATTGTTTTTGATAATAATACATCTAATTTTATATTTTATGTTTATTTTAAAAATATTGAATTTTATATATTTTTAAAAGCATTTTAAATTTTTTCTTCAAATAATAAAAATTAAATAATTAAGAATTAATTCTATATTTAAAAATATTTTATTTTTTAATATAATATTTATTAAATATAAATTAATATATTCATTAAAAATTATTAATGTTGTTTTTTCTTTATTTTTAATAATTTTTTCTTCTTTTTTTATTTCTTTTTAAAAATATCTAAAAAAATTAAATATATAATATAATAAATACAGAAATATAAATTATATTATAATATAATTAATAAAAAATTTCAAATATTTTTTTTAAAAATTACAGATATTTAAAAATATTTTTAAATATAATAAAATAAAAATTAATTTGACTATTAATATTTAATCATTTATTATAAAATAAAGAACACTAAAAAACTTTATTTATTAAATAAATATTTAAATTAAAAAACAAATAAAGATAAAAATAAACTAAATTTAAAAATAAAAAATTAAATAATATATGTATTATATTTTGGAAAAATATATTAATATATATATATATAAATTATGTAAATATATATTAAAGAAAAATATATAATATAATCATAAAATTTTTTTCATATATAAAAATATAATAATTTTTTCTAATTAATATAAAAAATAAGTTAACATATTTAATATAAAATATAAAAAAAAATAAAAAAATAAAAAAAAATATAAAAAATAAAATAAAATAATAATATATATACTTAAGAAAAATTATCAAGATAAATTTATATTAAATATTTTATTTAAAAATTATAAAAAATTGTATTTAAAATAATTGATACAAAGCAAAAAAAAAAAAAAAAAAAAAATTAAAAAATATAGACAAAAAAAATAAAAATATAAATAAATATATAAATATATAAATTTATTTATATATATATATATATATCTTTATTTATATTTCAATATAATTTTAATAAAAAATTTCAAATTTTTTTTATAAAAAAAAAATTATTATAATTTTTTTTACATTTCATATTTTTATATATTTAATAAAATAATTATGTATGTATTATTTATTTAGTATTTTTATTTATATATATATTTTATTATTTTAAATATAACTTTTTATAATTATATAATATAATAAAAAATTAAAAAATATATTTTCATTTATCTTTTTATTAAATTATTATATATTTTATATAATTTTTATTTTCTTTTTCTTAACAATATAGATAAATTAATTATAAAATTTAGTTATTTAATGGAAAGCTATAAAAATTTTTAAGAGACTTTAATATCATAATAAGAAAATGTTTAATTATTAAATTAAGAACATAATTAACCTAAGTATAAAGAATATAAACGTCGTTATGTTGTGACAATTGCATTTATTTTAATTCATGTTTGCTAAACTGCAATATGTTCAGTTTTTAATTCCATATCTTAATATACAAGTCGAATATATAACATATCTCCTATAATAGTAAATTTGAATTTTTTAGTTATTGCATTTCTTTATTTACCTTTATCATTTCCAATAAATTATTTGTTAGAAAAATATGGAATAAGGATTTGGGTTACCTTTTCTGCAATTTTTTTTTAGCTGCTGTATGGTTACGTCTATTAGTAAATTAAAGTTTCTATTTTGTACTTATTGCCCATATTTTAATAGGAATAGGAAGTCCTGCATCTGCAAATCCAATCACAAAAATAAGTTCAATATGGTTTAGATAAGAACATAGGTAATTTTATTTTTCATTTATTTCCTTTTATTAAAAACAAATAGATAAATAGTTACATCCATTATAATTTTTAGCACTTTTATTTTTTAAATGTTATTTTAAATGATTCCTGGTATGTGGTTAAGAAATTATAATATTGATTAAGATGAAAAAGATGGATATATTTAAGGCAAAAAATTAATTTTTTAATTATTAAAATTACATGCTTTAGCATCTACAATCATCCTTATCCCATCAATTATTGTTTTTAGAGAAAAACCTCCTACTCCTCCGTCTTTTTCTGCTGATTAAAAAAGAGAAGAGTATTTCGAGTCTCTTAAAATTATTGTTAAAGATAAAAATTATGTTATTGTTTTACTCAGTTATTCATTATTATATGGTTAATTTGTTGCTTTTGGTAGTTCTTCTTCTTATATTACTACACCTTTTAAATATTCTACTTAGTAATTAGCTATTGCGTTTCTTTGTGTTATGATTTCTGGATTTTTTGGTAATATAATTTTAGGATATTTCTTTAAAAAGTCTCTAAAATATAAAAAATATATTTGTATAGGCATATTAGGTAAATATTGATTTTATTTTTTATTTCATTTTAAAATTAATAAATGTAATTTTTTTTTTAAAAAAAAAAAAAAAGGTACTGTAGTAGGTTATTTACTTTTTATAGTTTGTCTCCCAATTTAAAACACATTTATATTTTTCATTCCTTATATATGTATAGGTTTTTTTTCATTATTTTCTCTTCCTGTATTACTTGAATTATCTACTGAATGTGTTTATCCTGTAGGAGAAAATGTTTCAGCAGGATTTCTATAATCTTGTGGTTAATTTCTTGGGTTTATTTTTGGAATTATGTTTTCACTTGTATTTGATAAATTGCCTTTAACTAAACTTTTATCTTATATGCTTAGTTTAGGTTTATCTGTTATTTGTATTGTCTCTTTTATTTTAATATATTGTTCAAAAGCTATTTTAAAAAGAACCATTATAGAATAATAACATGATATTTCTAATAGTTAAGATAAAGAAAAAGCTTTATTTATAACTAATAATTTTGAAGAAAAACAAGGTGTTGAAAATAAACTTATTTGATTAATTTATAAGTAAAAAATCTATATTAATATTATTTTTTGACTTATATTATTTTATTAAATTTGTTAATCTTCTTTAATTTTTAGATTTTTTTCAATAATAAATATATTAACATAATTTAATATAAATAAAATATTTGTAGTTTAATTTAATATAAATATTAAACTCTTATTTTTCTAATATAAAATATAATTTGAAATATTGGCATAAATTATAATTTTGTAATAATTTATTAAACACATTATAGTGATATAATTCTATATTAATATTTGACTTTTTCTATTTTTCATTAATAAATATATTTTATTAAAAATAATATTATTATTTTAATTATATATTTTATTTTATTTTTTAATATAAAAAAATACATATATTAATTAAATATAAAATAATATAATAAAAAATGAATATTCAAGCTTCTAAAAAAAGTAACAAAAAATATTAAAAAAATTAACATAATTTTATCATTTAAAAAAAAAAAACAAGTTGAATTTAAATTAAATTAAGGGACAAAAATATTAAATTCAAGATTTGGTAATGATTCAAAAGCAGTCATAGTATCGATAGACGATAAAAATAACATAAATTTATGGAAAATATCAAAGGATTATCCAATTTTAGTAACAAAAAAAAATACTGAAGTTAAATTATTATTAAAATAAAAGACATTAAATAATAACTAAACAAATTTTTAACACTAAAATGAAATAACATATATAACATTTAATTAAAAAGACACTGAAGTATATTCAGGATCAAGTAAAGGAATTATAAATATATGGGATATAGAATAATAAAAAAGTAATTATGATAATTATAATATAATAAATAAAATTAATAATAAAAAAAGTATCTAATACATTAAAAGCACATAATCTATCAATAACATCATTATCGATATTTCCTTTTGAAGATTAAAAAAATATATTAATTTCAGGTTCCTAAGATACATTAATAAAAGTTTGGGATGTTAGAACTAAATGTATTTTATCTACTTTAAAAGGTCATAATAATCCTATTAGTTATTTATCAGCATCACCAGATTCAAGATTTATAGCATCTGGAAGTACCGATGGAGTTATTAAATTTTGGGATTTGTTTCAAAATAAACTTATAAGTACTTTAATTCATCATGAAGAGTAAATTACAAACCTTAAATTTAATCCGGTTGAAATGGCATTATCGTCTTCTAGTTAAGATAAATGTATTTCTTATTATGATTTAGAAACTTTTTAGTTAGTAAAATTAATGTTAGATAAATATTTATTTTTATTTATATATAAATATTAAATTATATATTATTAATTTTTTTCATCAAAAATATAATTAATTATTAATATTTTTATAAAAAAAAGATAAGTAAAACAAAGCCTGATATATAATCAACACAATCAATTTTATTTGATGACGAAGGCAAATTATTATATAGTGCTTCTGATTATAATTTGAAAGTAATATAATATTAAAAATTAAAAAAAATATATAAAATTTACTTAAAAATATAATTATATATATATATATATATATGTCAATGTATATATATATAATTTTATTCATTTTTTTTTATTTGTATTACATACTCATAAATATTAGGTTTGGAATTTAGAAGATAATGCATAATTATTGATTTAAGCCGATACTAATTGGAAAGGAATTTAAGACCTTCAAAAGGCAGAATATGGTAATGTTTTATTAGCTACACAATCCTATGGTAATTCTTTTAATTTATGGGTATGTACATTAGATGCTAATTAATAAAAAATAAATCAGGATAATTTTTAATTTGAAAATAATAATTTTCAAAGGTCTAATTCTGAATTGACACATAACATCAATAATGATAACAACTAAAAATAAGGAAAAAATTAATTAATTAAGTAATCTAGTTAAGAAAACTTTACATTTAAATTATAAGATAATAATTAAATACTATAAGTTTAGTAATAAATTATTAATAATAGTATTCCCAAAAATATTCCAGATATTTCTATAACTAACTAAACAAAAACTTTAGATATATCATAAATAAAAAATATAAATTAGTTTAAACAAGAAGAATTACCAAAAATTTAAGAATAAATTGAAAATGTTAAAATCTAAATTGATTAATAAATAAAACAATAATAAATAAATTAAGAATTGAAAATTAAAAAAGATTAAAACTAAATAATACTTTAATAAGAATAAGTATTTTTTTTATTATTATTTGTATATTTATTTTAAATTAATTATAATAGTAAAAATAAAATTAAAACATAATTAATTAATTAATTGAAGAATCAAATATGAATATGAGTGAATTTTTAAATTCAAATTCATTTAATATTAATGGTTTAGCTTAAAACGAATTATAAATACATCATTTTAAATAAATTGATTTTATAAACGATGTATTATTATTTTTTTATTTTTTTTTAAACATAATATAAATAAATTAAATTAATATTTTTATTTTTTTTATTTTTTTCATATTTTAAATATATTTAAATTAATTAAATCAAGTTAACCAAAGAACATTAAAAATTTTAGCTATTAATGCAAAATAGGTTAAATTATGTAAAACCTATTTAACATTGGGTAAATATTGGAAGCATAAAGCCAGCCATAAATGCTATTAATTAGTTTTTTTTTTTTTTTTATTTCTTTTTTTTTTTTTTTTTAATAATTATTTAAAGATTAACTGATCCTTGTAATGTAATGGATGCTTTAAGTATAATTTTAAATAAAATTCAAAATGTGAATATTGATGAATGTATTATTTTACTTTAAAAATGCAAAATGCTAATTGAGAGCAAATATTAAGTAAAAAAAGCAATAATATTTAAAAAATAAAAAAATAAAAGTCTCATATTAAATTTGGTTTAGAATTCCTTCATAAAGTTTTTGATATTCATAAAGATGTAATATTTATTTATTTATTAAAGTTTATTTTTGTAATATTAAAGGAAATTATAAATATAAAAATATTTAATGTTTTAGGAAAAATAGATTTATCTAGAGAAGAAAGAGTCAATAAGTATAATAATTTAATTGAATGTCTTAAATAGATATATAGTCTATAAAGAATTAAAAAAATAGCATTAAAAAAGCCAAACGAATAAGTAAATAATATAAACAAATATTTAATATTTTTTGTTTAATAAATATATTTTTAACAAAAAATAGATAGGATAACTATCATAAATAATACTTAATGAATTTACATTATTTTTTAATAAAATTTAAATTGGAGGCAAGCATTTATGAAAAATATTTTCAATTAAAAAATAAAATAATAAATTAATTAAAAAATGAATTGATATTTAAAAAAAAATAAAAAAGTTTTATTATAAATTTCTTAAAAAAAAATTTAGTTTTTTATTAATTTTATTATGTTATTAAAAAAAAAAAAAAAGTTCAATTATATATTTATAAGCTTTTTATATTGAATAAAACTTAATAAATAACAAATGTTAATAGTTTAGTGTTTATTCAATTTTTTATATTATTTCCTACCATTATTATTAAAAAAAAATATATCTAAATATTTATATATATTAATATATATTATAAATATATATATTTTATATTTTTATTATATTTAAATATATATTATTTTAACTTTATGTTTTTTTATAGAATTAATACAACATTTTTATTTTTTTTACTATGTGATTCCTATATTTTTTTTTAAAAATTATCATAATTAATTTTCATCATTATTAATTTCAATATTTTTTTCGTAAATTTAATTTCATGGTATTATAATATTTAAATAATAAATTAATATATATTATTATTATATATATAAAAGATGAAATATTTTAAATATAGAAATTATATATTTATGAAATAGAATTATCTATATTAATAGCGTAGATTTATTTATTTATTCTAAATTTTAACTGTTTTATATACTAAGATAGTATTTTGTAATTAATATAAAACATTTTATTATAAAAAATAGCATTTTAAAATATTTTTTTTATAAATTAAATGTTATTATCAGTGTTTCTTTTTTTTTAACTTTTATTAAATTTTATGTTTCCTATTTTTATTAATTCTTATAATCTTTAAAAAGTGATTATTTTATTAGATTTTGTTGTTGTTTTTTTTTTTTTTTTTGATTATATTTTGTTTATTATTAATATATTTTTATTATTTTTTTAATTTATTTTAATGTATTAATATTTTTGCTTGAATATTATTATATTTCATCCATCTATTATTTTATTATTTTGAGTTTTTTAATATTATTATATTTTTTTTTTAATTAAAGTATATATATTTCATTTTTTTTCTATTTGCATAATATATTCATAAAATTAATAATTTTAAATTTAATATTTAATATCTATAAAAAGATATTAAGATAACTTTAATTTAGTCTTTCATTATATGTATAATAATAATAAGTATTTACCCTTCTTATATTTAAGATAGTAAATTTGAAAAAGACATATTTTAATTATTATTTGTTTAAAATTTTATTTGTATTTTTTTTTATCAAGTATATATTAAAAATTTGTTAATTTTATATTAAAAAATATAATGTTTATTTAAAATATTTAATATATATATTAATTTTTTGGAATAAATTAAAACAAATATTCAAATATTACTTATTAAATTTATACTGAAAAAAAAAAGTTAAATTAACACAAATGTTTGTATTTGTTTATTAAATACTATCTGATATACTAGCTAATATTTTAGACTCTTTCTATATAAAATTAAATTTTAGCCTAATAAAGTACATGTTTATTTGTTTGATAACATTTTCGATCTCAATATTTATTTATACTGTAATTTATTTTTTTTAAATGCCATACATGAATTAAGAAATTCAACTAAATTTATAAAAAATAGATAACGAAACATTTATGGGATATTATTTTGATTAAAACTATTTATAAGAAATTTGTAATGAGGATAATTTATAATAGAAATATATTGAATTTTAAGAATCTTATAAAGTCAATTTAAAATAAATATGTATAGAAAATATTTTATTATAAAATTAATAAATATATATGGATGAAGATACTTATTAGATTTTTTTATAATATTATGGTCTTTAAATAAATAGTTAATTATAAAATCATGATTTATTTCATTTAGAAATTATTATTTTGAATTCGAAATATAATAACTTGATTTTAAATAAAGATTTTTATGGCAATTATGAGTAAAAAAAATTTTCTTTTTCTTTTTATTTTAATAAATTTTTTGAATTTATTTTAAATTATTTAAATCATAATTTGTAATGGAAGATATCTAAATAATATAATTTTCTTTTAATTGAAAATATTCAAATAAACTTTGAAGGAATTATTGTAAAAATAAAAAATTAGAATATTTTTATGTATGATTCTTAACTAATTGTTAATCCTATTTTAAAAGGACTTAAATATTATGCTTATAATTGGTTTTATATAAGTAGTTTTTTATTTATTTTAGGAATATCTATTTATCTATTGTAAATTTATACATTAAAAGAAACTTTTAAAAAATTTATAAATAAAAAAATAAAAAAAAAATGTTAATGATTTTGATGTAAATATTCTACTTATAAATATAACAAATATATATATATATATATATATACATATATATTATAATATAATATATATATATTATATTAACAAAATATTATTATTTATGTATTTTTAATAATTATTTGTTTATATATTATATTCAATTTATTATAAACTTAAGTAAAAAAAGTCTATATCTATATGACTACAAATATTTTATTTTATTTTCTTAAAAAATGATAAAAATAATTTAAAATTTATATTATTATTTAACAAAAAAAATATATATAAAAATAAAAAGAGAAAAAAAATAAATAAAATATATATATATATATATATATATATTAAAAAATCACATTTTTATTTTAAATAAGTTAAATAAAAAATAAAAAAATAAAATTTAAAATTATAAAATGATTAATAACGAAAATAACGAAAAGCATCAATTAAATAATTTTTTTTTTACAGATTAATAAAATATAAATGGATTCATAAATTAAACAGACTTATGTGATTAATAATCATGGGATAATATTATAAATTAATTTAATTAAAATAATAATTCGTGTAGTGATTAAGATATTTTTGCCTCTTTCCCATCTATATTTTCTTCAAGTTTATAGTAAAATCCTTTTAGTAATAGTATAGGTAATAATAACATGTAATAAAATTCTAAAAGCATAACTTATTAAACCTGGAATATAAAATAATAGCAATAGCAATAAAAATAATAAAAATAATAACAGTAATAATAAATAAATATAATCAATAAAAATAGTAATACTTCTTCTAGTAAAAACTCAGAATAAGAGGAAAATTATTCTGGATTTTCGGATGGATAAAAAGAAAAAAAAGAATTTAAATTAAATAACATATCGATAATTTATGGAATAGCCCTTTTTAAGGATAATTCGGATAAAAAATAAAAAGCTTTATTTGAATTTTTTTAGTATTTTTTGAAAAGAAAATAATAATTAATATAAATAAAAAAGAGATATTTATATTATATAATTAATATATTATTTCCTTTTTTTATTAAAAAAATAAATAATTATATATATTCATATATTAAAAAAAAAATGAATAAAAATATATATTAAAATTATTAATTAAATTATAAAAATTTCATTTTTTTTTTTTTTTTAAAATTCGTTTAAATAATATATATTTATTATTTCTGTATATTATATAATATGTATAAAAATATTTAATTATATTTATAATATAGAAAATATGACTTTTATAAATTATCTAAAGATATATATATATTTTCATTTAAAAACTTTGATTTTAATTTTTAATATTTTTTTTAAACAAAAAAAATCAATATTTATATTTATTTTTTATTTAAAACAATAAATTTTTATTTTATATTTAAAACAATATAATATTTATTATACATTTAATTGTGATATCAGTATATAATAATTTTTATATAGATTTTTTTCTTCTTTTGTATATAAATATAATGATTTAACACAAGTTAAATAATTTAATAAAATCAAAGAAAACAAAAAAGAAAAAAATGTAAAGTTAAAGTAATAATAGCAATTCATTAAACTTATAATTCTTATCTGATGGATCAGATATAAATGCTTTAGGATTATGTCAAGATTATAACTAAAACTAATAAGAAGAATAGATAAATAATCCTAAAGAAATGTCAAAATTATTCCTCTTAATATTCAATAAAAATAAGAAATATATATATTTTAAAGTGATATTAAATGCAATATTTGGAATGGCAGGTACAATTATATACTTAACAAGATGTGAAAATAGTTCTTTATAATTATGGAACATATAATAGTCTATATATTTTTTTTACATGAGCATATATAATTTATTAATATCATTACAATTATTTTCAAAAAAAAAGAAACAATATATATGCGAAAAGTTAGGTGAATTTAGAACAAGATAGTAAAATGAAGATGAATAATATAGATTAGATGTAATGAACAGTTTCTAAAATAGAGAATTAATGAGAATTTTAAATAAAGAATTCATGGATTTTTATTATAAAAGAAATTTATTTTTAAAGACTTTTTTTACAATTTAATCTTTAATTTCTTTAGTTTATGTTTTGTATGGGACTATTGTTATGTTTAAAGAAAAACAAAATCTTTGGGATTATAAAAATTGTGAATATTATTTAAGTTGGTGGGCTTATATTTCAATTGTTATTGTTATTATATTTAATAAGAATATTGTTGATATATTAATTTTTATTTGTATAGGTAAATATTATTTTTTAACTTTTAAAATATTTTTTTTTTTTTTTTTTTTTTTTTAGAAAAAAATATATATTTTTTTTTTTTTTAATAAAAGTTTTGCCTATTATTTTGTTTATTTATGCTCCTTTTGCTATTTATTAGAGAGTTAAACATAAATAACAAAAAAAATAAATCATGAAAATATTCAAACCTATTAAATATTAAAGAGGTTGTATTAAAGGAGATACTGAATGTACAATTTGTAGAATGAATTATATTATTGATGAAAAAATAATAATTCTTCCTTGTAATGAATTACATCATTTTCATGAAGATTGTATTCTTTCTTGGCTTAAAATTAATTCAACTTGCCCTTTATGTAGATATGATTTTGAAGAAAATATAAACATTTTAATAACAATAATAATAACAATAATAATAACAATAACAATAACAATAATAATAATAATAATAATAATAATAATAATAATAATAATTAGAATAATAATTAACAAAGTTAAGTAATAAATTAACAAACATAATAATATTTAAACTAACAAAATAATAATAATTTTTAATAAGAATTAATAGATAAAGATAAATATCTAAGTTTCTAAAGTGAATAAGATTTTAGAGTGTATTTATAATAATAGAACTATTCTCAAAATTAAATAGATAACTATTTAAAGAACTGGCGTTTTTTTAAAGACTAATTATGATATTAATCCCAATTTTAATATTCCTTCATAAAAAAATATTTGTAATATTAAATATTTATTTCTTTATTTATTACTTTTTTTTCTTTTTTTAATAAATATTTTTTTATATAAATATTAATTTATTATTAAAATTTACTAATCTTTCTACCTAGTAATAATATTTTAAATTAAAAATTTAATTAAGATATTTTTCAACATGAAAATACAGAATATAAATTTTGCTTTGTATATAAAAATAAATTTTCCAATTTATTAAGAGAATTTATTTTTAATTATTATTGATAACTTGATTTTATTTAAATTAAAAATATAATTCTTTTAACAAATATGTAAAAAAATAAATAAAAAATAATAAAAAACAAAAATTAAAAAAATAAAAGTTTAATTTAAAAAAATAAAAATAACATACTTTATATTATAATATTTATTCATAAATGAAAAAAAAAAAATCTCTTTTTTTATTTAAAAAAATAGGAGACTTTTTAGAAAAAAAAAAATAACAAAAATAAAATAATCATTGACTCAAAACTAATTAGTATTAAATCCAGGGGGTACGCCACCACCCATCATCATCCCAGGTACACTTCCCATCATTCCAGGAATCTAGGAAGGAATCATCCCAGGAATCTAAGAAGGTATCATTCCAGGTACTTAAGGAGGTATCATAGGAGGTAACATGAGATGTGCAGGAATAATTTCAGGTCCAGGAATAAAAAGGGTTTAATTATTTTAATTATGTGCTTAGGCGGCTTTTTTTTCTTCTTCTTTTTCTTTTTTTTCATGCTTTTTCTATCTAGAAGTCAATTCGTGAGTAGATTAAATTATATAAGGCATTACATATTCAAAAAGATTAAATCTCCAAGCAAGTTCTAATACCATAGCAGGCATAACAAGGTCATAACAAGTATAAAGAGTAATAGTAATAAATTCCTTTTGATTTTATTAAATAAAGAATCTTAGTAAATCTTCGACAAGTTCAGGTTTTTAAGATTCTAAAGCAGTTTCGATTGCATCCTAATTTATACATATATATTTATATAAATATATATAAAATAAAATTACTCTATAAATTCCGTCTTTTTTGGATAAAGCAATCGAAAACTCATATTTTTGTATTCTTCTATAAAGATAAGCAGATTATCTTCTAAATTCAAGTAAAGAATGATTTTCTGTAGCTTTAGCTAATGCTAATTAATCGAAATTTTCATAAGTACTAATGGATTAATGTAGTGATTCATAATCTTAATTTTCTAAATGAATATCATTCAAGCATTCATTAACTTCTTTATTATTTGCATTCTAAACAGATTTCAAAAAAGGAGTTATTAAAGCTAAATAACCTGTCTTTGACATCTTTAATTTATTTTTTTTAAAAATAAATATATATATATAATATTTATATATATTTATATATATATTTATATATATATTTATATATGTATTTAATTACCACGCGAACACATTTAGTTAAATCTATTTTAGTAGTTAAAGATTTTAATAAATCATTTAATAATTCTGGTTATTCATCTAGATAGAAAATTATAGATTTATAATAAAGATCATAATTAGATGCCTTAATTAATAAATTAACAAACATATCATGAGAATATGCACTTGGGGAATGTTCAATCATTATATTTATTGCTTAATCATATTATTAGAAATTTTAATGTAAATAAGTGCATTCTGCCCAGTGTTAATATCTTTCACAAATTCTTAATAATTTTGCAATATTTATTTTCTATTTTTATATTTAGTTTTTTTTTATATATTTTGATTTTAAAAATAAAATATATATACTGAATGATAGCCTTTGCAATATTCCATTAATTTTTAAGGTACATATTTAGCATATAGTACTCCCAAATCTGTAAAATATACCAACATGAGCTCTTTCTAATCCCATTCCAGTTTCTAAAACACTTATCATTTCATGGGGATGTCCGAATTCTTCATAGAAATGAATTAATTCTTCCAAATGATCAGGATGAATAATAATATTCATAGCTGAAACTGCTGCTAATTTAAATTCTGAATTTTCTACACAAGCCAATGTTAATTCTTTCCAAGTTTTAGGGGTATTTGCTTTTTTAGCAATTTCAATAGCTTGTTAAAATTATTTCAATTTTATCAAACAACTAGCAATTTTAGCGTTATTTTTATTTAAAGTGAAAAGATTTTTTGCAGCTTCATAAAGTCCAATTTCGAAACATCTCTCACCTACCCTTTAAACATCTACAGAATTTGCAGAAGAAAGGAAATTTTCCAAATCACCCATTCTATCAATTTTGGCATAACAAAAAGCCAAAGAATTATCAATACTGGAATCTTTTACCTATTATTCTCTACACATTAATAAATATTTTACTAACTAATCAAATTATCCTTCATTTTCGGCCACATTTATCACTTATAGATACATCTAAGGGTCTTTGGCTTTAATATAGCACTAAATACACTCTACGATTTGATTTTTATCCAAATAAGCGTTTCCCAATTTTGACCAAACTTCATTTGTATTAATTTTTTAAGCATAATCAGCCGCTCTCTACAAATCTTTAATGTTTTCCAAAATCACATCCATAGCCTAACCTTACATATTATTTTTATTATAAATAACAAATGCTTCTTCATAAAGTCCATACTATTCATTCAATGCAATTTTCGCAATTTCCGGTCCATCATAATTGTCTAACCTATTAATATAATCCATGACTTTCTACTAATCGCTTTTAATTGCCGTAATAATGAGTAAATTTTATAACTTTTTATATTATCCGAATTCATGGTTATGTAATACTATTTTTTCCAATAAAGTAATCAAATATTCAGGTAAATTGGCATCCATAAATGCTTTTACTGCACAAGAAACTTAATCAACTTCTTTACTTTCAGGAAGTGCATTAGTAACTACTGGTTCTATAACTTATTATCTATTAGCATTTTCCTCAGAAAGAACTTTAGCCCATAACTCAGGAGATTATCTTTCTACTAAATACTTAGCCTAGATTCTAAAAAGAGCATTTTTGTTAGTTACTTGAATAAGCTAGTCATCACATTCTCCCCAAGATCTTTTATAGGCAATAACGGCTAAATGAGGATCTCTTTCTTCGCAAAATTTACCTATTGTAATCGCGTTATAAAATTGGTTATTTGTTAAAAAAGACTCAGGATCTTAATTTGTATCTATTTTTATTTTAGCTAAGGCATTATGGATTGATGGAATTTAGCTTCCTTCAGATATACGACCTTCTAACCAGCCTTCAAGTACTTTCAATTTATTTCTTTTTTCAAATTCTTCTATTAATTAATCATAGCATTAAGGATTTAATTTTCCACCTATTTATTGAAGTAATACTTGGATTTATCTTTCTTCACATTCCTAGTCGATTAATGAGCCTAATACAGTTGGGGTGGCTTATGGGTTTACTTAGAATAAGTAAATTTATATGTAATTAAAGAAATCTATTTTTTTAAAATATAAGTTAAATAAAAATAATTTATTATATTTACTATTTTTGTACAAATATTATGTCAACTCTTCTATATATTTATGAATATCACATAAAAATATAATTGGCTTAGGATCTGGCAATCTCATACTTTTAAGGAAATCTTTAACTTTTTCAGGATCATAACAATTATGTTTTTCTTAAATTACTTATTCAACAGTCCTTAATTAATTGCATTTTGTTGCTGCTTCAATATATTTGAAATGAATATCTTTATCTTCAGTATTACTAATTATTTAGCTTAAAAATAAATAAATACCATCAAAAGAACTAACCTAAAGAAAAAAAATTATTCAAATATAATTTAAAAATATTAAATAAAATTACCGACTCAAAAGTCTTTACACAAGCTTAAACATTAAATCTTTAATGATTTTTAACCATAATATCAACAACTAATTAAAGATTTTACCTATTATGTCTTAGCATATCTTAAAGGCAAACAAGAGCCCATTCTGGTTATAAATTACTAAAAAAATTAATCAAATAAGGATGAGGAATAAACTAAGTATTCAAGCAAACCCTTTTAATATCTTTAATATCAGAATAATTTTCCAAAGCTTTCTAAAATAATTATTTCTATTCACAAAGTTAAGCAATTCTCAATTTATTATATTAATTCCATTTAGTTAATTAGAAAATAGTTTCCACAATATTAGGCTCATTAACAATATTCCATTCTAAAATCTTAGTTTACCAAGGTCCATCTTCGGGTCTATTTTACTTCATACAATCAACCAAAAGAGCACTTAATTCTTTAAACTTTTAAGCCTACACGAAAATTTCAGCAATAGCATGAATATTAGTCTAAGGATTTTAAGCAACTAAAGTTTTCGCCAATTATACAGCATTAACCGGATTTGTAAACACTGAGCTTTTTATCATCCCCATATAATCTAAATTAACCCCACTTTATTATGCGAACTAATTAGCTTCATCCTATTTTCCCAAAGTCATTAAAGTTTAGACTACTTTAGCAGGTAGATTGGCTTTTTTATAAATATCCAAAGCTAAATTTTAGTCATATTATCCTACCAAATCTCCCAATTATTCACTACATTCTAACTTATTTTCCTTAATCCAAGATTCTATGAATTATTTTCTTCCCTAATTTAAAACCAAAGTACATAATTCAATAGATTCTAATTAATTCAAACCCCCTTTTTAGAGTAGACTTTGGAAATAAACCAAAAGCGGTGAAGGAGTTCCTTACAAGCTTTTAAATTTATTAATAGTCTAAGAATTTCTTATTGATTCTCCAGGAGCTATTGCTGCTATTTATGCAGCTTTCGCATAATCTCCAGCTAGCATAAACTTATTAAATTAATCTAAAAACATATCATCTGCTCCTGGAAGTCTATATCTTCCTGCTAACTTGAATGCTAACTAAACTACATTAGGTATATGTTGGCAATTTTGAATTAGGTAATTTACTAAATTTTACGCTTCAATTTAAATCAAGGATACTGTGCCATTTTTAGAAATCGTATATGCTCCATCTTCTTTTGAATCTTATTGTCCGATAAAAATAGGAGAATCAACTATTCTATTAGAATAAAAAAGAATATTGGTAGTTAATTCGTATATTTGTAAAAAGCTATTTTTAGTAACTACAAACAATTAACCATATTTAGTTGAAACTTACATATAAATAGGGAAATCTTAAGGAAATTAAGGATTAAATACATATTCAGTTGATAATTTATGTTTTTGGAAGCCGTCTGGTGGAACAGAAATTTCATTTACGATTATTCTTGCAGTATTTTCACCTGGTTTTTTCTCAAAGAAACATAACAATGTTGAAAGATGAGTATCATTATGAATTTTAGCTTACCCAAAACAACAGCAATGTCCATTTAATATTTATTATTTCCCTTCTCCAATTTTGAAAAGTTAAATATGACCATTTATTGTTTTTCCATCAGGAGATGATATTCCATATAAAGTACTCCAATTCGCTTATGGAGCTAATTTGTAACCAATTATTTATCCGTTTCCATTTGCTAATTCTGCATATCTATATATATTTATATTTATTAATATATATATTAAAAAAAATTACCTATCTAATATTTTTGTATGTGTTTCAGATGAATTTAAATCACTATGATATACTACAGTAGGTGTTACTATAGCTAAATTAGTAGCATTAACCCATGTCATGTATTATATTTATTCATTTAGATCAATATGCTTTAATTTCTATTTGTTATCTAAATTCCATATTTGGACATAACATGCAGGACCATTTGAAGCTTTCAAGACTATTATATTTTAAGTAGGATGCATTAATGAAGTTTCAGCTTTATTAGGCTTTCTGTTTATACTAAAATTGTTGTCAATTTATATTTAAGTTAATTAATTTTAACCATTCTTTTTTTTTTTTTAATACATATATTTATTTATTTTTTTACTTAAGATTTGTCATTTATAGATATGCATCTATCTGATTCAAAACTTGTTACTCCTAATTTTAAGTATTGGGGATCTATTCCTAAATTTGTTAATGAGCAAACATTTTAAATACGTACTGGAAGTTTTGACATTTTTTTAATTTATTTTAATATTTTTTCTAATTAATTTAATTTTATTTATGAATTTTCAATTTTTAATGTTTAATTATTTATTTTTTCTCCCTTTTTTTATTATAACTTTTTTTTTAATGCTAATTATATATATCTTTTTTTTATTTAGATTTTATTTAATTAATTTAAAAATTTTCTTTTTTTTTTTTTTTTAAAAAAAAAAATATTATTATTTTTTTTGTTATTTAATTTTTAAAATTTTAAATATTTATTTTATGAAATAAAAATTTTTCCGATTTGATTTACAGTTAATGAATAAACCAAAATTAATATAAAATAAATAAATTCAAGCAATAAAATAAATATAAAAAATATTATTAATATGATTATGCAAATAATGTTAAATATATTATAAAAATATATTATTTTAATATTTTTTTATTTATTTACTAGTTATTTTATATTTTATTTTTGTTATAATGTATAATATATATACTTAATGCAATTTATATATTTATATAATCTTTATTTAAAAAATCAATTATTAATAAATATTATAATAAAGTTATAGTTCATTATAAATTTACTTAAAATAAATAAAGCTTTAAAATTATTAAGGATTTATTTATTTTTAATCAGAAAAATTAAATTTTTTAAAATTTTAAAATAAAAATTAATAAATAAATAATATATTAATTATAGTATATATATGTTATAAAAAAAAAAAAAAAATTGAAAATATTAAAAAATTAATAATTAAAATATTATATTTTTATATTTTAAAATTTAGATATCTATAAATAGAATTGAAGAAATTTATTTTTAAAACTTTAATAAATATAAAAATTTAATAAATTTTTATTATGATAATTACATGTATATTTATTTATAGAATAAAAAAAATTTGATATCCAAAAATAGTAAAGTCTAAAATAATATAAATAATATAAATATAAATATATATGTATATATATGAATATATATATATATATAAATATATATATATATTTTTTAAATATAAATTATTATATATATAAATATAATATATATATTTTAATTATATATTTATAATATTATTTTATATATACAAATTATTTTTTTTAAAAATTTTTTATATTATAAGAATCATAAAATAAATATATATATTTTTATAATTTGTATTAGAACTTTATATATCTTTCTTATTTATTAAGTAAATAATATTTTTATATTTATATTTTATTTTACTATATTTATTTTTATTTATATTAATATATTTTTATATTTTTTTTATTTTATACTACATTTAAATTTATATATCTTAATTTTTATTAATCTTCAAAATAGTGTTTTTTTTTATAAAATTAATTAGAGCAGTTTCAATTAATTATTTTTGTTTTTAAAAAAATACTAAAATATATATTTTGTAATATTCTTCTAATAATTAAAGATATAGCATTAATAATAGTTTATTATCAGAAACAAATTGTAATAATAATACTTTAACCCTATCTTAATAAACAAAAATAAATGCATATCATTTAATCATAAATTTTAAATATTACTTAAATAATAATTTAAAAAAGAATAAAATAAAATAATATTTAAATATGATAATCTATTTTTTTTAAACCATACATTTTTTCAAAAATATGCCACTCCTATATTTTTAAATATATGTTAATAAGAAAATATATAACTATCTCTATAATCTTATTTTACAAAATTTAAAATATAAACGCCTAAATAACATATTAACAAAAATAAAGTGAAAAACTGAAAAATATATCTGACTTAGAAATATATCTCGAATAATTAAAATAAGATTGTCTTCTTGATTATTTTTTGGAAGTTTTAATTTATATTATTTTGGAATATAGAACTTCTTTATGCGTTCCTTTATAATTTTTTAATTAGAAAAAAAATAAAAAAATATTATTATCCATATTATTGCTTTTCTTATTTTTTTTGTTATCCATATACAAAAAAAAGCTTAATACTTAAGATGATTTGTTTATAAGATCAGACTAAAATAACTTTTTAAAAATGCAAAAATATAAAATAAATATGAAAATTAGAATAATTTAAATATAAAAAGTTTAAAAATTTTAAGCCAAAATAAATATTTTAAATTTCAAAATAATTAAAATGTTAATGAAATTAATATAAAATTAAATGAAAATATAAAAAAGCTTATCAGGAGATTTCTAATAATTATACACTTTACTAAAAAATTATAATAAGAAGCTAAATAAAATTTAAATTGATGAATTTTACTAAAATTTAATAAAATATTAAATAAAAATTTTCATAAATAAAATATTAAAAGATATTTAAAACAAAGTGAGATGTATTTTTATTTGTATATATATTAAAATATAAAAAGTATTTAAAAAATAAAAAAATAATTATATTATAAAAAAAAAAAATTAATTAGATATTACTTTTATTACAATTTATATATTAAAATAAGCAAAGTTTTACATTTATTTTTAATTAATATAATTTAATTATTATTTTTAAAAATAAATTTTGATAAGAAATATATGAAATTTAAAAAT